ATGAGTACAAAAGAAACCAATTATATCAAAATGCAGTTGCCAACACATTAAAAACCACAAATTTGAGATTAAGTAATGCTCGTGCTTCTTTATGGAAGCCTTAAATAATAAATGGTGAGCCTAACTGAAGGAGCAAATAAGCATACATGCTGCTGCAGGCTCTGTGCCACCGTTGTAACAGAATATGAGAGTGTCTCTAGTGACAAAGGCAGGGGGGTCGCTAACACTACTGTGGTTTGCTACTCACACATGCTATTAAAAGACATCCTAAATTTCAGTCAGAAATAGTGGAAATAATGAAGTTCTCTTCCATCCACACTTATGGACTGAGGTTAGAGTTTCTGCTTCAGAATCTGTAGAGAGATCATCCTTTAGGACAGTATCTAGGAGAACTGACTTGTGTTAAGTGCCTACCATGTACTGTGCACTGGTCCCTACAAAATTCTATATTCATCTATTTTCCCCTTTACCTTAGCTAGAGGAGAAAGGGGCAACAGAGGATGAGGTGGTTGGATGGCATCACCAACTCAATGGACATGAGTTTGAACAAACTCCAGGAGATCGGGAAGAACCAGGGAAGCCTGCCGTGCTGTGGTCCATGGGGTCAAAAAGAGTCAGACACGACTTAGTGACTGAACTACAACTAGCTAGAGGGCATCGAGAGGGAAAGTTTTAAAAAATAGGCTCCTCTGTTATATTGTGGCAATATTTAATAGGCAGAGAATAACCAGCTGAAAGTCTTATCCTTTATTAAGGTTAAATCCCACTGAACAACTCACTCCTGAATTCCCGGAGTCGACTCCCATTGGAATGAGAAAGTTGCAAACAAGAATTCCAAGCTTTTGGACTTTCTTCAAACCCAAAGTATCTATGAGTTAAAAGGTAGAGATATCCAACAGATGTCTGGCACAGAGTCAGGGCAGCGAGCATGGGGAAGCTGCCCACAGCAAACCCTTGGTGGGAGGAGTCCACAAGGCTGATGGATAGACTAGGACAGAGGGAAGAGAATCGGGGCCTTGGATTCTGAGAACTGGGTGAGGAACGGGGCAGGTGATGGAAGGTTTAAGGAGAGTGTTCTGTTGTCTTTTGTTTTTTGTTTCACTTACATTGCAGCTGATTGCTTCACTGTTATATTTACAGGAGATGCTTTGAGCGGAGAAGGACTCCCAAGGTGAAGAGGACTTCATAAGCCTTGACCTTCTGCCCATCAATGAGGCGCCAGAGCATGGGATCGCTCATCTTCCCCCAGGAGCTCTATTCCTGCAGCAGAAAATTGCACATGCACCCAGCTTTACAACAGGCTGAGATGAGCCTCTGTGGGTAGACTCTGGATTCTCTCTTATTCGAGCGTTTTCCCTGAGTCATGTTAAGATATTTAAGAAAGACTTCATCTTGTGAAATGTCTTTAATCTGAAAGCAAATGTTTTAATTGCGGAGTCAGAGAAAACCAAAGATTTTGCACCCATTCCCCCCCGCCAAAAAAAGACTAAATCAAAAATGCAAATTCCATTAAAATAAACAAACAAAAAAAGCAACTGGCTAGGGAGGGTCATGAAGACAGATGGAAGTTCGTTATCTCATTGTTTTGTTTATTTGCTTATTTATGTGGACATCTTGGTGCAAGACAGGTTTTGAGGAAGAGTCTGTGTATCTGCAGGGGAATCTCGCACAGGACATGGACATACAGTAGGGGGCTCAACAAATAGTTGCTGAATCCAAATGGATTTTCCTTAGAGTGAACTCTCTCCCTCTGACCCTGCTCTAATGCATCCTGCATTTTTGAGTTCACTGTGCAAGCTTAGCTTGAGGTTACAGAGAGAACGAGGTCAGGGTTAATTAGGAACAGGCAACATTCCCATAGTGACAGGAATCAGGACTTCTAAGGACAAATCCTCAGTGCTCATTACTCCAGAGCTCTTATTCCATGAAAGAGGGAACAGGAACCTCTGGGGAAATGCTAGGACTTGCCCACTGGCTTGGAGAAAGCGGGGAGGAATTTAACCCAGGAAGTCACCCAGGTTTCTTAGGGAACTTTAGATCCATTCCAAAGCGTAGAATATTTACCTGGATCCTAAGATAGGAGCAAATCAGGCAATGATGCTGTAACTGCAGTTTCTTCTCAAACTCCAGGAGTCTCCTCTCCAGTTTGGCATTTCCTTCTCCCGCTGGTTTGGCAGCAAGAGATCATCTGAGACAGTGACAGGAATGGTCTCCTTGGCAATTAGCAGGGGATTTCCCCCTGCAAGGGGCTGGGACCAGGCTGCAGAGATGCAGGTTCTATCCAGTCAAGATTGCCTACTGGATCAATAGGATCATTAGCAGGAGTCCTGGAAGGCAAAGCTAGCAATTCGTCTGTCTCAGGAGGCCCCACGTGTACATGTAAAGTCAGATCCAAAGACAAAGGGGCCAGGAAGAGAGAGGGGGCATCCCAGCCTGGGCAGAGGGGAGGGGAAACCATGGGGCAAATTCTGCCTGTGGGAATCATAGTAGCCCCCAGGCCAGGCAAGGGGACTTCAGAAACCTAAGGGAAGATGTAGACAGGGCCACCAACAGCACTTCTGCAGCCATCGGTTCTAATCCTACGAGAACAATAGCTGTCATGAGTTGTGCTGCTAGAGCTTGGGAAAGGGTGAGAAAGCGTGCAGACTTGGAAGGCGGAGCGAGGGCTGGTCCCAGTAGCAGCTCTGCCCTGGATCGGTCCAATAACCCGCAGGGCAGGGGGAGCCTGCAGAGGTAGTAGGCTGTTGCCTTGGCCAAGAGATTGGACTTTCTCCTGGGGGCAGTGGAGACCCAGGGCAGGTCCAAAGCCTGGGAGTCCCTGGTTTGAGGTGCTTTCTCTGAAGGCTGTGTAGCTAGCACGTTAGCACAGTGCTTCCCCAAGAACAGCCAGCAGTATCAGACACCTGAGAACCTGTTGGAAATGCAGATTCCCAAGCTCAGTGAATCAGAATCAGGCAGGGACCTAGCAGCCTCTGTTTTAACAATGTGGGAAGCACTGGATTAGACACTGCTCTCGTTGGCTGGAACGCCCAACAGGATACTGCTGCAGGGGCCCTGGAGAGTTCTGAGGGAACCTGAAGGTGGGTGGTGGCGGTCTTTGCCAGGGAAGGGTGTAGGCAGCATTAAGAGGCCAGAGGAACAAGTCCTGGTGATACAGGCAGTGAGGACAGATGAGGCACAGGAAATTCACAGGCTGTTTAAGTCGTAAGCTGTTGCGAGGAGGTGCCATTTGCTTTAGGTGAGAAGGAATAAAAGCAGGTTTGCTTAAGTGGCAAGGGGGGCTTCCACATTCCTTCCTTCCATCCCCCATCTTCCCAGGCCCTCATTCAGTTTCATCCCTGAGCCGTTCTAGATGACCTCGGAGGAGCCAAGACAGGAGACGTCAGTGTCCTAGGGTGTAGTCGCCCCATACAGACTGCGATCAGTGGAGCCTCAGGAGACAAGTCTGCCCTGGAGATCAGCCTTTGGGAATCACCAGACAGTATGGTGTTGACAAGACCGAGCCCTGGAGCTGCCTACCTGGACTCACCATTTCCAGTCCACCGTTTATTAGCAGTGTGACCTCAGGCAAGTTTCTCAGCCTCTGTTTCCTCATCTGTGAAATGGGGGTGATGAGATCAGGATGCACATTTTAATTTTATGGTTATTAGGAGGACAAAATGAGTTAGTAAAAGTACAACATTTAGGACACTTCCTGCAAGGTGATGTCAGTATCAATCACTCAACCCTGCTGTCATTGTGGTTATTGCTTTCATTACTCCTGGAAGTGGGAGCTTTGAAAAAAGCAGGTCCTCCAGGATGGGAAGACTGAAGGGACTCTACCCTCTGATTCTATTTCAGCAGTATTCACTCAGTCCTGACTCCTGGGGCCACACGCCACTACCCTCCTCCATCTAGCCTGTTTCTTCCTTCACAGCTTCCTCCCCCGCAGTGTGGCTCTTCCCAGCTGGAATCATTGAAATCACCCAGGGTCTCAGGACATATTCAGTGGGTGGCTCAACTTAAAGACACATTTTCAGGAGGAGAAAACGATCTTTAATCGACATTACATGTTGATCAACTATGGGGCCGGCAGACCTGGGAGACAGGAGTCCTCCAAGCCTTCTGGCTGGTGGGTAAAGCATAGTCCTTTAAACGGATCATATCAATACAGAGTGAGAAGAGCTAGGAGCGGGTACAGAGCAGCAAGAGGCCTCAAAGGAAAGCCTTATCTCCAGCTAGAACTCTCGGCACAATCCACTGAGCAATTTGTGTTCTCACATTGGAATTAACAGAGTGTCAGAGCTCTGCTAAGGCCTTCCCAGGTGGCCCAGTGGTAAAGAATCCACTTGCAATGCAGGAGACCCAGGTTTGATCCCTGGGTAGCGAAGATTCCCCTGGAGGAGGAAATGGCAACCCACCCCAGTATTCTTGTCTGGGAAATCCCATGGACAGAGGAGGCTTGCAGGCTACAGTCCATGGGTGTCGCAGTCTCACAAGACTGAGCACACACCACACATACACAAGAACTCTGCTTTTGGAAGAGGAAATGCTGAGATAGTACAAACTCATCTTTGCTAAATGTCCCATCTTTTCTAATCTGGGTTTGGGGAGCAGGGCTCCTTGGCAGGGGCAGAGGCAGTACCATGCAAGCTCTGAGTGGGCAGCTTTCCTGGACCATCACGGGAAACAGAAAACATCACTGGACGCGGGGCAGAACCAAAGCTGCCACCTCCAGCCGCTGGGACTGATCACGAGCCCAGCTTGAACCGAGGTCAGCTGGAGAGATGGATGGACTAAAATAGAATCCCAGAATGGGTTCTGAGAACTAAATAGAAAGAGAGAGGCCCAGAGGCACAGACAGAACTCTCCAGGGATGAAAAGGTTGTGGAGAGAGGAGAAGAAACACGGAGAGGAAGCGATAAAAGGATTCCCAAATAAGGAAACTTCCAAGGGTGAAGGGCCTGAGAGATTGGCAAATGATGGAGAGAGCTCATAACTTCTCTTCCTCTGGTCCACAGGCGCAGAGAGAGCTGATGATGAAAACTGGTACAGAGGGCTCAGAGAAGTGTTGGGAGAAGACAGTGTAACCGATGACCCAGCCTTAGGCTTGAAATTGGATGACGGTTCTCCCCAGCACAGCAGAGGTGAGTGACCCACTGATTAGGAAAGAATGTGTTCTGTCATTCCTACAGAGCAAATGGTGTTTTGTTTTTTTTTTTCTTTTTCCAAACTCTGAGAAAGGATCCCCTCTTTCCGCAGGTCCGGTCATCCTCAGAAGTCTCATGGGCAACACATGAGAGGCATCTTGGCAAACCAGAGTCCTTGACAGCAACTTGTAACAGCACAGGCTCTTTATGTGGGAGAAATAATAAAACACCTTATTAGCAAAACAAAAGGCAATGTGCAACAGGACTGGTGGAAAATGGAGGGAAATTGCTTCCTTCTGCACCTAACCCACAAGCATAAGCCCTTTCCAAATTGGGCGGGATTTTTTTTGGCTGTCCTTTTTGTTTCTGTTTAAAATTTAATATATCAGATCATTGTTGCATTTCAAAAGGAATATATATATGATATTAATATTATGATATTAACAAAGAGATATATGATATGAACATAGAGTAACTAGTGAATATGGGCTCCCCCGATGGCTCAAGTAGTAAAGAATCTGCCTGAAATGCAGGAAACACAGGAGATGAGGCTTCTATCCCTGGGTTGGGAAGATTCCCTGGAGAAAGAAATAGCAACCCACTCCAATATTCTTGCCTGGAAAATCCGATGGACAGAGGAGCCTGGTGGGCTATAGTCCACGGGGTCACAAAGAGTTGGACAGGACTGAGCATTCATGCAGAGTGACTATGTCCTCAGACCATCAAAAGGGACACACCTCCCTCACTTGATTTATCCTAAAATATAAAGTTTACTTTTTATTTTAAAAAGTCATAAATACACACTATCATGGAAAAAATAACAGAAGAAAAAAAGTGGAACCATCCTGTCCACAATAAAAAAATTACTTATATCCTATAAATCTTTCTAGTCTTTTCATCCCTATATACACACTCTTCCATTACTAATTGCTTTTTCCTGAAAAAAATGAGCAATCGTAGTAGCTACTGGGATTTTTTTAAGGATACAGTGAAATGAACATCGCTCTGATTTGTCTGACTCTTTGCACTCCCATGGACTGTAACCCGCCAATCTCCTCTGTCCATGGAATTCTCCAGGCCATAGCACTGGAGTGGGTAGATGTTCCCTTCTCCAGAGGATCTTCCCAACCCAGGAATTGAACCCAGGTCTCCTGCATCGCAGGCAGATTCTTTACCAGCTGAGCTACCAGGGAAGGATATACTGGATGTAGGCTATTCCTGGCTGCCCAGCATCTGTTTCACCTTCCTTTTTTAACTGTGCCATATTATCTTTGGGATATGATTCCCCATTGAATATGTCTTATAGGAATGCCACTTGGAATGTCCTGTGTCCTGCTAATCATGGGGGAGGGAATCTGATGGAGCTAGGCCAGTTGAATGCTCCTTTGCTGAAATTTGCACCTTGAATAAAGAGAGAGAAAAGGAAGGAAGGAGAGAGGGAGGGAGGGAAGGAAGGAGAGAGAGAGGAAGGAAAAAGAAAGACAAAGAAAAAGAAAGAAAGAGAAGGGAAGGAAGGAAGGGTTAAAGCTCATACATCCCAGTGCAACTTCCAAATAAGACAACTGCGCTGTTCCTGCCACATCTATACACCCACTCTCCTTCATAAATGCCTTAACTCCTGAGCCCACTTCTCTGAACTGATAGTCAATCCTATGAACTCTTCCATGCCCTTTCGGCAAATTTCATTTTTGCTTAAGGCAAGAAGAGTCCTTTTCTGTTCAGTTCAGTTCAGTTGCTCAGTCGTGTCTGACTCTTTGCGACCCCATGAATCACAGCACGTCAGGCCTCCCTGTCCATCACCAACTCCCGGAGTTTACTCAAACTCATGTCTATCAAGTTGGTGATGCCATCCAGCCATCTCACACTCTGTTGTCCCCTTCTCCTCCTGCCCCCAATCCCTCCCAGCATCAGGGTCTTTTCCAATGAGTCAACTCTTCGCATGAGGTGGCCAAAGTATTGGAGTTTCAGTTTCAGCATCAGTCCTTCCAATGAACACCCAGGACTGATCTCCTTTAGGATGTACTGGTTGGATCTCCTTGCAGTCCAGGGGACTCTCAAGAGTCTTCTCCAACACCACAGTTCAAAAGCATCAATTTTTCGGCACTCAGCTTTCTTCACAGTCCAACTCTCACATCCATACATGACCACTGGAAAAACCATAGCCTTGACCAGACAGACCTTTGTTGGCAAAATAATGTCTCTGCTTTTTAATATGCTATCTAGGTTGATCATAACTTTCCTTCCAAGGAGTAAGCGTCTTTTAATTTCATGGTTGCAGTCACCATCCGCAGTGATTTTGGAGCCCAAAAAAATAAAGTCTGACACTGTTTCCACTGTTTCCCCATCTATTTCCCACGAGGTGATGGGACCAGATGCCATGATCTTAGTTTTCTGAATGTTAAGCTTTAAGCACTCATAACCAAAGAATCCAGAGTGAAAACATGGCTAAAAAACAGCAGAGGGACAGGACACAACAGGGAAAAATCTGCCAGCCACGTTGGTACCACTCACCAAGCACTGCCAGCCTCACCTTCAGTCAAGTTCATCTGACTCAGAAGAATCAGTTCTGTTATGTCAAGATGCTAGTGTGGTAGACTGATTGTTTTAAAGACTTTGATTTTCAACCTTGACATGTAAACAGGTTCTTGACAATGTGAAATTTTAGCACCTCCTCAAAAAAGGTAGTCTATCTCTCCACCCTTGAAACTAGGCTGGCGACTTACTTTGGCCAACAAAATGCAGCAGAAATAAAGACATGCGTTTTGGACACCAAGAGGACTTGGGTGCTTCTACTTGCTCTCTTGGATCCCAGCTTGCTCCAGGAGAATAAGGTGCAGTGCTCTGCTTGACTGAAGAGTCAGACAAGAGATATCCTGCCTGAGGTCACACTGGACTGAAGCTCCTAGATAACCTACCGACTGAGATCAGTCTTGGGTGTTCATTGGAAGGACTGATGCTGAAGCTGAAACTCCAGTACTTTGGCCACCTCATGCGAAGAGTTGACTCATTGGAAAAGACCCTGATGCTGGGAGGGATTAGGGGCGGGAGGAGAAGGGGACGACAGAGGATGAGATGGCTGGATGGCATCACTGACTTGATGGACATGAGTTTGAGTAAACTCCGGGAGTTGGTGATGGACAGGGAGGCCTGGCGTGCTGCGATTCATGGAGTCACAAAGAGTCGGACACAACTGAGTGACTGAACTGAACTGACCCTCCTGCTGGCTGCAGATCCACAAGCTAGTCTAGCCAAGATAAGCCAAGCCCCTCCCAGAGAAGCAGGTCTACTCGGGTGGATGTCGACTTCTGAGAGCGATAAGTGCTGTTTTGGGGAGGGTGAGATGTATGGAGAGAGTAACATGGAAACTCACATCACAGTATGTAAAATAGACAGCCAATGGGAATGTGCTGTGTGGCTCAGGAAACTCAAACAAGGGCTCTGCATCAATCTAGAAGAGCAGGATGGGGCAGGAGATGGGAGGGAGGTTCAAAACAGAGGGGATATATGTATACCTATGGCTGATTCATGTTGAGGTTTGACAGAAAACAACAAAATTCTGTAAAGCAATTATCCTTCAATAAAAATATAAAAAGAAAAAAATGCTATTTTGTAAAAAAAAATAAGGATAAGGACAATGGGGCTCTTATATATTATCTGAACTAAATATAAGGAAATACATTCTGAAAATATTATTCAGTTACTCGTGGGAAAAATACCATCAGTTGAGACTCCCAGAAATGCCATAAAACACAGAATAGTCCAAATATCTCAACTGCTTTAGCAGTTGGACAAGAACATGAGCCCTGCAGTCAGAGGACCTCATCCTGCCATGCACTAGCCATGTGACATTAAGCAAGTGTGTCTCTGTTTCCTCACCTACAAGAAGATGAAAATAGTAGGATCAACCCCAAGGGTTAAATGACAAAGAGAAATTACCCATTGTAACGTTAGCCATTATAAACAGTATTCTTCCATAGCTGTCAGCTATTCAGAATCAGGAGGTTTAAAAGGAGTCAGTTTTTTTTGTTTCTTTTTTTTTACTCAGTTTGATCAACTTTGCTTTCTAATGGGAATAGTAGATTTCATTTAATATTTACTGATCTGGTCAGGGTTAATTGTATCATACTGTTATATTTTCTATTTCTTTTAAATTCCTGCCTCCTTTTGGATATATTAAGTGTTCAATTTCTTCCTTTGTTAAATATATATATTTATATATGTACAAAATATAAATATCTATTCTAAGTGTGCATAATTTAAATATATTGTTTATAATATATATTTTATACATATGTGCATACCATCATTCTTTCAGTGGTTATTCTAAAGACTACCACACACATTCACTGGATCATGGAGAAAGCAGAGGAGTTCCAAAAAAACATCTACTTTGGCTTTGCTGACGACACTAAAGCCTTTTACTGGGTGGATCACAACAAACTACAGAAAACTCTTAAAGAGGTGGGAATACCAGACCACCTTATCTGTCTCCTGAGAAACCAGTGTGTGGGTTAAGAAGCAATAGTTAGAAGCAGACATGGAACAGCTAACTGGCTCAAAATTGTTCACGGAGTGTGTCAAGGCTGTATAGTGTCACTCTGCTTACTTAACTTATATTCAGAGTACATCACCCAAAATGCCAGACTGGATGAATCACAAGCTGGAATCAAGATTTCCAGGAGAAATATCAACAACCTCAGCTATGCAGATGACACAACTCCAGTGGCAGAAAGTGAAGAGGAACTAAAGAACCTCTTGGTGACGATGAAAGAAGAGATTGAAAAAACTGGCTTAAAATTTAACATTCAAAAACTGAAATCACGGCATTCGGTCCTATCACTTTAAGGCAAATAGAAAGGGGAAACATGAAAGTAGTGACAGATTTTGCTTCCATGGGCTCCAAAATCTCTGTGAACATTGACTTCAGTCAGCTCCTTGCAAGAAAACCTATGAAAAACCTAGACAGTGCATTAAAAAGCAGAGACACCACTTTGCTGGCAAAGGTCCATATAGTCAAAGTTACGGTTTTTCCAGTAGTCATGTATGGATGCGAGAGTTGGATCATCAAGAAGACTGTGTCAAAGAACCGATGCTTCTGAACTGTGATGCTGGAGAACACTCTCAAGAGTCCCTTGGACTGCAAGGAGATCAAACCAGTCAACCTTAAAGGAAATCAACCCTGAATATTCATTGGAAGGACTGATATTGAAGTTGAAGCTCCAAAACTGGTCGCCTGATGTGAAGAGTGATTCAACAGAAAAGACCCTGATGCTGGGAAAGGTGGAGGGCAGGAGTAGAGGGGGACGACAGAGGATGAGATGGTTGGATGGCATCACTGACTCGATGGACATCAGTTTGAGCAAACTCCAGGATATGGTGAAGGACAGGGAAGCCTAGAGTGCTGCACTCATGGGTTGCAAAGAGTTGAATAGGACTTAGAGACTGAACAACAATAACAACAAAATAGACTCATCTCCCCAAGAGATAAATTTTGCCTTTAACTTATGGTACAATTTAAAAGGTCTTCTCTTATGGAGGATAAACAAGTTTGATTACCAAAAGAGAGGATGGCGGGGCAGGGAGGGATAAATCAGGAGTTTGGCAGATATTAACACTGTTCAGAAACTGAATCACTTTGTTGTACACCAGAAACTCACATGACATCGTAAATCAACTATATTCAATAAAATGCATACATACATACAAGGTCGTCTCAGACACTAGGATTCCATGATTCTTTGGTTTTACTCAAATGACTAAAAGCTTAAAAGATAAGGATCACAAAACCTCACTACCAGCCTTCAGCATTATGTATGGGAGGGTTAAGTTTCACAAATTGTGTGGACCAAAGCTTTCTAGAATATAGTGATGACTGTTGTGCATTTGCAAATCTCCTTTCTTTGTGCATTTATACAAACCTGAATGGACTCTCATTCATGTTCAATGAACAAAAGCTTCACATCCAGAGGAAGCACGAAGCAGTGACAGAGGATGAAACAGAGTAAAAATGATCTGGAGGAAAAAAAATACAGGCAATGATCTAGAGCCCAAGGAACTAAAATGTCCTCTCCAAAAAAAGACTAAATGAGATTAGGGACTTGGGCCCCCAAATACCCCCCTCCCCTCTTCCTCCCAGTTTGGTGCTGGAGGGAGCCATGCAGGCACCAGCAGATCCTGGTTGCCCTGGGCGTTCCCGCTGGGGAGCGGGGAGGTGGAGGTACCAAGGCAGATGCTTGAGTAAGTGTGGGTGAGCTTGCCGTCAAGTTTATGGGCCAAAGGGCACTTGCCAAGTTCCACCTCTCCAAAGCCCATCCAGAAAGGACCCATGAACTCAAGCCATGCCCACCTTTGAAGGCTCTCCTGGCCCCCTGATCACAGTCATCTTTTCTTCCTCTAATGGGAATGAAAGACTTTTGGAGGCTCAGCCTGGGCTGTCCTGAGAGATGTTGGCTTCATCTCTGACACACGCAGCTGCGCAAAGGCCTCAAGAGGTTCTTCTTTATGAGTCCAGCTGTGTCCCCGCCCCCAACCCCAGGCATGGAGCAGCCAGCGCACAGCAGGCTCCGGACGGACTGTGGCCGAGGACTGGACTCCCCCAGCTGGTCACACTCCCCTCACACGTGCATTCTGAACTGGCTCCTTCATTCCCAAGTCTCTCTCTCCCAGGCTTTGGGCAGAGGTCTTCAGGCACCTCTGCCAAAACCTCCGTATGGGAGGGGGATGAAAAGGAAACCTTAGAGACAAGTTTTTCCACTGTGAGTACCCAGTGTTTTTCCACTTTCAGCTCTCCTCCCCCTCCTCACTCTCCTCCTCCACCCCAGGCCCATAAAACTGCTGGAGCCTTTTATTCAAAGCTCCCTCAACTACCAGATGCCCCCCCACATCTGTGCTGATCTGCCCGATCTTCCAACAGGACCCACTGCAAGGTGGGAGGACAGGAGAGGGTCTTCACTTCCTCCAGTTCAGCCTCTCCCGTATGCAACCACGCACGCTCCCCTGTTTTTTCATTTTGACTCCTTGAAGCTTTAATCTGCAGCTCCTATACCAGGCAACTCAGCACTCTCTGCAGCTCTGCTGAGCTCCTGACATAAATAAATGAGTAAAATAATTACCCAGGATGAAATAAAATATCAAACAGAATTTCTGGTGTTGTCTTAGAATCCAGGCTGAAGCCTCAGGGTGAAAACATTAGGTGATGAAGAAAACACACTCCACATCCCTGCAAACTCGAACAAAAGATGGGAGGAGTAGACCACGCAGTCGCCACGTCCTAAGAGGTGGCCAGACCAGGTTGTGGTCCCAGTCACCACGTCTTAAGAGGCAGCCAGACCAGGGTGTGGTCCTGTGACCACAGTCCACCTGCGTCCCCAGCCTGGAGAGAAGGCTCGGAGTGGCAGGCGGGGGATGAGGGACTCTGGTCCCAAGCGTTGCCATGGCACCAGAGCAGAGCGTGATGACGGACTGCCTGGGGGAGACTTCCAGCATCCACGGCAGAGACCAGAGGAAGGACCCAAAGGTGAGAGGCTGGCTGGAGCTGCCAGTGATGGAGGAGCAAAGGGAGGACCTGCCCGTCTGGAGTGTCACAGGCAAGACGCCGGGTGCTCCCAGGGGAGCAGAGCCACCTGGCCTTCCTCTTGAAAGGCCCACTCTGTGGAGTGAGACCAGCCCGGCAGCAGAGATGCTGTGCGCTACAGCATCAGAGAAGGCGCTGCAGGGTCAGGATTCTCAGCGGCACGCCTGGAGCAGAGGCTGCCAGCAGCAGGTCTGGTCCGGAGGAGGAACCAGCAAGGGTCCGTCAAGGCAGAACCACTAGCAGCACCAGCTCCCCAAAGAGGTCTTCTTGCACCTCTCATTCCTTCCCCATCCCACTCTTCAGCCTGACTCAGAACGAGCAGTACCGGTCCAGTGGAGAGCAGAGAAGGAAGGGTGAGGAGTGGAAGATCAGACCACAGGACTCCTGCCTGCTTCTGGGCAATAGGGCCTCACGTCAAGCCTGAGCCTAGAAGGACAGAAAACGCCTAAAACTGGATGTGAAATGGAAATCTCGACATTAAATTGGACTGGGCTATTTCTTACCTAAACTCAACGTGATTTTAAGATTCAAAACTTATCATAAAAGCCATAGAATCTGCTTGCAGTGTCTTCCTCGGGAAGCCTCCACAAGCAGGTTTGAAGTTGTGGTAGATGAAAAGTAAAGCTGTTTTCTCATCTTCTCTTACTCAGTATAGCTTTTTCCAACGCCCATTAGAGAAGCAAAAAAGAAGCAGAGAGGGAAACGACAGAGCTGGAATCTGCTTTGGGAACCGCCACCCATGGCGGCTGAGGAGCACGTGGAGGGGAGAAGGAGGCACCTCTGGGAAAAGGGGGAGATCATTCCAGGCTGAGGGAGGGTTGTGTGCAAAGGCTCTGGGGCCAGAACAGAGGGATCATGGAACCTCGGGCAGGACAGAGCACGGCGATGATGTTGGAGTCAGGCTGTAGGTGATGTGGTCCACAGTGAAGCGTTTGGTTCAATCCCCAGGGCATTCAGAGTTTAAGCCACAAAATGACTTAGTCCAAACTTAGAAGCTGAAGATTCCTTTTTATGCAGACTGAGGGCAGGAGTATAAGCCCAGGCCTGCAGGAAATCAACCCTGAATATTCATTGGAAGGACTGATGCTGAAGCTGAAGGTCCAATACTTTGGCCACCTGATGCGAAGAACTGACTCACTGGAAAAGACCCTGATGCTGGGACAGATTAAGGACAGGAGGAGAAGGGGAGGACAGAGGATGAGATGGTTGGATGGCATCACCGACTCAATGGATATGAATTTTGGCAACTCCAGGAGATGGAGAAGGGCAGGGAAGCCTGGCGTGCTGCAGTCCATGGGGTCACAAAGAGTCGGACATGACAGAGCAACTGAACAACATTAGAAGGACACAATGCACTTCATAGAAAAGGCACAGTAAATTCTCAGTGGTTGCTTTTCTCAAGTTTACACTCTCAGAAGATCAGAGAGACCAGTAGTAGTGTTTCTACAGGCTCCCATCGACTAAAGTAATCTACTGAAATTTAATGACCAACAAAAACAAAAAATGGAAAACATATGTCCATGATGGTCCACTAGTTAAGACTTCACCTTCTAATGCAGGAGGTGTGAGTTCGATCCCTAGTCAGGGAGCCAAGATCCCACATACCTCGAGGCCAAAAATTTCAAAACCATAAAACAGAAGCAGGACTTCCCTGGTGGTACAGTGGATAAGAATCTGCCTGCCAATGCAGGGGACACATGGGTTTAATCCTTAGTCCGGGAAGATCCCATACGCCGCAGGGCAACTAAACCTGAGCACCACAGCTACTGAACCCATGGGCTGCAACTGCTGAAGCCTGTGTGTCTAGAGCCTGTGCTCCAAAAGAGAAGCCACTGCAACAAGCCCCCGCACCACAACCAAGGGTCACCCATATCGCCACAGCTAGAGAAAGCCTGTGCCAAGCAATGAAGACCCAGTGCAACCAAGAAACAAACAAAAAACTCCACTTAAAAAAAAAAAAAAGCAATATTGTAACAAAGTCAATAAAGACTCTAAAAATGGTTCACATAAAAAAAAATCTTAAATAAAAAGAGTCTCTTGCATGAACAGCTGCCATATGTGATCAGTGCTATGCAACACATTACACACTTGCACATGGCCATCCTCTCTAAAGTGAAAGTCGCTCAGTCGTGTCGGACTCTTTGCAGTCTGTACAGTCCATGGAACTCTCCAGGCTGGAATACTGGAGTGGGTAGCCTTTCCCTTCATCAGGAGATCTTCCCATCCCAGGGATTGAATCCAGGTCTCCCGCATTGCAGGTGGATTATTTACCAGCTAAGCCACAGGGAAGGCCAAGAATCCTGGAGTGGGTAGCTTACCCCTTCTCCAGCGGATCTTCCTGATCCAGCAATTGAGCCAGGGTCTCCTGCATTGCAGGCAGATTCTTTACCAACTGAGCCACCAGGGAAACCCTCAGAACTAGATATTAGGTGCAACAGTTTTCTCCCCTCTTCTCCCTTTTCATACATACAGTTTCCAATCTCTCCTTAAACATAATTTCAGTGTGAGAATGGCTCTGGTTTTTCAGGAGCTACTTAAACCCACTTTAAAGGTGTGTTTACACAATCTGTCACAAAAGAAAGAATGAGACTTCTTTCTTAAATGAAAAAACGTTACCAGTTAGCAAAAACAAATGTTGTGATGCTTCTTCTCACCAACAGTCACAGTGAACAATTCATCTCTTGCCTGACACTTGTCAGGTGACCCACACAGCCCCACCGCCAGCCCCTGAGAATGATTTACAAGTACCTCCCGGCTACAGACAATTCCCCAGGAAGGCCTCCATTCTTACAGACTCCAGCCTAATAGCTTCTGTACAACTCCCGGGAGCTGGCAATGGACAGGGAAGCCTGGCGTGCTGCCGACCATGGGGTCGCAAAGAATCAGACAGGACTGAGCGACTGAACTGAGTGTGCATCGAAAACTCGCCTTGCGCAGGGCAGCACGCTGAGCACTTTACAGGTATCATAATAATCCGTCTTCACAAAAACTCTTTAAAGTCAGACTTGCTATTATATATCCCTACTTTAGAGCTTAAAGAAATGGAAGCATGGAGAATTTCAGTAGCATATTCAGGGTCAACCAGATGGTCAATGGTGACACCCATGTTTCCTCTCCAAGTCCATCTGCTTCTGGCGCTTGACTTTTGAGTCTGAGACCCCTCCCTTGACTCCCAGTGCAGTGCCCACCCAGGTCCACCGTACGGGACGTTTACCTTTGTACACCCTAGCTCATAGGTCTCGTCTATCTGCCACAGGCACCAGCTTGGCCCTTGGCCTCACTGCCCACCATCATCTCCCATGGGAAGACTTAGGACTGGCTCAGGGCCTAAGCCACCCTCTGTGTCCTTGCAGGGGCTAGTGGGAACGGAAGAGTCTGTATCCATGTAAGGCTAGTGGGGACGGAAGAGTCTGTATCCATGTAGGGCTAGTGGGAAAGGGAGAGTCTGTGCTATGCTAGGTCATCTTATCATGGCTTAGACAGCCCTGTCACGTGCATCATCTCTCTATTATACAGTCAATGACATCACGCTGCTAGCTTTAAATTAGCCCCCACTGGAGTATTTATACCACTGCCGTTGCTCCTGCTAAGTCGCTTCAGTCGTGTCCGACTCTGTGCGACCCATAGACGGCAGCCCTCCAGGCTCCTCCGTCCCTGGGATTCTCCAGGCAAGAACACTGGAGTGGGTTGCCATTTCCTTCTCCAAACTGCACCACAGAAATTGGCAGACACAACAAACCAGAGCTTTGTTGGAGGGAAAGAACAGCAGCAGCTGCTTAGGACGGACAGTTGGGGTCACAGCAAAACCATCTCTTAGTCTTTTTTTCATAGCCTTTGACAGACAAATCATCCCTAATTCCTAGGACTCCCTCAAAAGAAGTCCAAGTGAAACTCTGCGTGTGGGAGCCAGGTCTTCTTGTTCAGAAGCAAATATCCTTCCTCAACCTGAGCTGCTCTCCTTGCGGCATTAAGAGAAAAGGGTTTGGAAACTTTTTCATGCTTTCCTAAATTCTGTCGAGCTTGCAGTCTTGCTGGAAGGAGGGAGCCAATCTCAGGTGCTAAACGTCAAATTGCTTATGGGGACAGCTGCAGCTTTCAGCTGAGTAAGCAGGACTTTCCAAGGGTGGTGTTCTCCAGCTATGGTGCTGCAGCCCGTTAAAAATTAGTGGCAGGAAAAAAATAAGTAAATAAAATTAAAAATATAAGTGCTAGGGATAGAAAATAAGAAAGAAAAGGAAAACCATCTGATGGTTTGATAGGAGCCACAGCAACCACCTCCGTTACACTTTTAAACACACTATGGAGTGAAGGAAAGGATGGGAATGAAGAAATAAGAAAGGCTACTTCTGAACCTTGGCTCTTTCATTGGCACATGTTCTGATGGGACAAAAAGGTAGGAGAGAAAGAAAAGATATAATGGGTACAAAGGCACAAACTCACGTCTGAAGAAAAGACCCTTCTCTGTGTCAGGAATCCAATGATGATTTCAGTCCAACATTCACTTATTCCGTGTTCACTGAGCACCTACTGTGTGCTAAGCAATACGTAAAATAGAATCGTGACCAGCGGAGGCACAGCTGCAGCCCTCATGAAGCCACCACAATCTAGTGGTGAATAAAAACACTGAACGTGCAGAACTGATCAGGTGTGATGCTTGTTATGATAAAGAAGATAAATGAGCCATGGGAACAAAACAGGGAGGAATCGTGGCTGCTTCTGATGCAGGGAAAGACTGAAGGCAAAAGGAGAAGGGGGTGTTTAAGGATGAGATGTATTAAAGATTAGACAGTATCACCGGCTCAATGGACATGATTTTGAGCAAACTCCAGGAAGAGAATGGAGGAGAGAGGAGCCTGGAGTGCTGCAGCCCATGGGGTCTCAAAGAGTCAGACACGATTCAGTGACTAAACAACAACCGATGCAGGAGGGGCCACAGAATAAAGTCCTGCTGACAGAGTGGGGAGGCAAATGGCTGGAAAGCCAGAACAGACAGCTTGACAGCATGACCAAGACGCATCCGAATCACTCTCGTGAGGGTCTTGTGGACTCTGGGAGAAGGCGAGGGTGGGATGTTTCAAGAGAACAGCATCGAAACACGTATATTATCTAGGGTGAAACAGATCACCAGCCCAGGTTGGGTGCATGAGACAAGTGCTCGGGTCTGGTGCACTGGGAAGACCCAGAGGGAT